GCCGGCCAGCGCGCGCCTGCTTGCCCGCCCACCCCGCCTCCAGCGCCCGCACCACCGACCGCAGCGCCGGGTTGGCGCCCGCGCCCCACTTCACCCTGATCACACCGAAATTGATTCCATTCATTACGTTCATGTCGACCTCATCGATCGTATCGGATGAGGATCGTGATAAGTATCGTGGTGTACCTCTGGTGCGCGGAGGCGACGAGCGACTGTGCGCGCGCGGTGGCGGCGGCCAGGCGCTCGCCCGCCGCGGCCAACTCGCGCGCGCGCCGCGCTAGCGCCGGCCCCGGGTCGCCGCTGCCGTTCAGCACCTGCACGCAGACATACACTTTATCGTGTCCGCATATAGAGGATAGCTGGTGGAGGGAGGAGGGAGGAGGGGGGAGCGACCTCGGCGTGCAGATGTCTGTGCGCGGCGCTGCGCAGTCGCGCCTCGCGTGCGGCGGCCTGCGCGGCCTGCAGGCGGCGGTGCGCGGCGTGCGCGCGCTCCAGCCGCGCCGCAGCCGCCTGCAGCGCGCCCGCCAGCACCGCGCCCCGCTCCGCCGCCCCGCCCCCGCACCCGCCCACCGACACCTTCTCGCACAGGGACTCCAGCGACACGCTCCATGAGGCGCCTGGACACAACCGAAATGTTTAATAACACCTCATACACCTTCTGCAATATTACGACAGGGAATGTCGGGCGCTGTTACCGATCTCCTTCTGCTCGACCTCCGCGCTGAGGTCGAGGCGGGCGCGGCGCAGCAGCAGACACAGCACGGTCGCCAGCGCCTTCGAGTGGATGCCCAGCACGCAGCGCGACACGTATTCCGCTGTGTACCTGTTAACGTAACATACAAATTTGTAATGTTATGTATTTGCATTACTTATAATGAAAAACCGTAAATTATAAAAGGCTGGGCCGATTCTGGCGACTTTTTTGGTTCTTCTGCAATGTAGCTTATGTTTGCAGGAATAACATGATCAATTTTTCAAATTCCTCGCCGACATGTGGCGGATATCCGCTAATAAATAAAGTGATGTAACAGTAATGTAACCTGCGCACGGGGCGGGCGAGCTGGGCGTCGTCCGGCGCGAGGGGCGGGGCGGCGCCGCGGTGTGCGGCCGCCAGCTGCGCGCACGCCGCCAGCACCTCCGCCGCCGTCTGCACGCGCCGCACCACGAAGATGTCCTCCAGCACCGCGCGCAGCGCCGGGCTCTGCATCGCCGCCTGCACACCGACCACACGCACCATCATCTTACCTTGCACCCAGAGGGAGCGGGGGAGAGGGGGAGAGCGGGAGAGCGGGAGCGGTGCGACTTACCGACATATGCATGGCATCGTTGACGTGGTCGATCTTCCTCCAGGCGGGCGGGGTAGGCGCGGCCAGGTGATCGGCCAGCTCGCGCGCGCGCAGCTCCACGGCCGCGAAGAGGCCGTTGAAGCCCATCAGCAGCATGCGTCCCGCGCCCGCCGCCTGCCCCTCCGCCTCGCGCGGCGCGCACAGCAGCGCCTCGTACCGCGCGCGCACCTCCGCCGCAGCCAGCGCCGCGCCGCTCGCCGGAGACTGGGCACGACAAACTCTCAGTACGCCGCTCGCCGGTGCTTCTTACAACACCGATTCTAAACGACTCTATTATTTACCTCCATGTCCATAACCAAGTATCTGAAATGCATCTCCAACTGCGCCAGGAGGTCGTTGAGCGGCACGGGGGAGTTCATGATGACGGCGTTCAATTCGGAGATCATGATGAGCACCGAGGGCTCCTCGGAGTGGATCTTCTTGAGGGCCTCGGGCAAGATGATGGTGCTGAAGTTGTAGTTGAGTTGCACCAGGTCGGCCAGCAGCAGGTTGGCGTTCCTGACGCATTCGACGGCCGCGGACGCGGCCTCGTCCTCGGCGGCGGCGGCCTGCAGCGGCAGCAACGACAGCAGCTCCACCGCTTGCACCGACAGCGCGTTCATGTCGTCCAGGAACCACTCGCCCTCCCGGGAGGTGAGGTCGACGAGGCAGTCGCCCGCGCTCTGCGCCCCCGTCTCCAGCATCAAGAACCTTCTGTTCAGGCTGCAGAGCATGCCGATCACTACGCCCTCGAGGGCGGCCGCGTTCCCCTCTCCGGCCCTCACCCAGGTCGTTATGTTCGTCTTGGCCTGCGCGTATGCCTCCTGCGCCAGCGCGACGGCGTCCGGTCCGCCCTCCAGCTGCAACCTCTCCAAGCATTTGTTAAGTTGTGCGTTTGCGTCTGCGTTGATTTGCTGCAGACGATAGTTGTAGGCGGCGATCTGTTGCGGGTCGCCGGCGCCGGTGTCGGCGGCGATGAGCGCGGCGAGCTGGTTGGAGACCTCGCGGCAGACCTCGGGCAGGTCGGTGTCGAGGGCGGCGGCCAGGTACTTGCGGAACATCACGATGCGGTGGTACTCGGTGCGGCTCTGGGGGTAGTACTGGGAGATGGCGACGTACTGGGACAGCAGCTCGAGGCAGCCGCGCACCAGCGCGCTCATCTGCTGCATGCTCTGGTTCAGCTCCGCCTCCGCTTGCTCGCACTGGGATATCATCGAGCTCTGCCCGGCGTTCGTCATAAATTCCTTTATGTGCTCAAAAATCGAGCTCTCGTCGTCCTCGCTGGTACCTGAAAACTCTTGAACCCACGTCATCAGCTGGGGTCCATTCAGCACTTCATTAGTTGTAGCGAAATTCTCTATTTGAGTGTCGAAATCTTTTAATATCTTTATGAGCGCCTTCATGGAATCCTCGACGGCATTCTTGGCTTGCTTGTACGATGAGTACTTCTGCGATATAGCATAGAGCGGGTGGCTGCTGAGGTTGGGCCCGTACGCTTCGATCTCTTTAATCAACGCCATCTGCTGGTGGCAGTCTTGCAGCTTTGTCTCTATCGACAGCAGCTCCTCCTTCTCTGCGGCCCACTTCTCCACGGCTTGTTGCACCTCGGGTAATATCGACATGAGCTGTTCTCTGAAATAATACTTATGTATTAATAACATTCACCTATAAAGTCCAGTCAGCACTTGATGACTTGTTCACATGTTGAAAGTTTGTTCCTTATGTGGTAAAGGCGGTAATACTACTTCTAAATTGAACAAGCACAACAAATAAGTGTCATGATACATATCTGAATTTTCCTTATTTTCGTATAGTTATCGGCGGCCCGTAAAGATACGTAGCTCATATTAAACGCGGGCACGCGAGCTCAACGCGGCGCGGCGGGAACGCGCACGGCCAAATTAGATTCTCTTTTTATGGGCAGCAATAAAAGTTTGCGTATTACGTGAGTCGAGAATTGCTAAAGTTATACATTCGAGGAAAATTTACAATACCTTATATTAATATTCAATCAATAAGTAGTACACTCCCCTACAATGACAATCCTTCAGTTGCTCACGCATCACTTATAACCATGAATATGAGACGGCATAAGTTAGTTTTGTGGGAACTCACGTGACGTCATCGATGGAGTGCTCCATCTCGCGCACCCTGACGGCGAGCATGGCGCGCGCGGCGCGGACGTGGCGCGCCCCGCGACGCCGCCCGCCGCCCCACTCCACCAGCGGGTCGTACACGAATGCCTCCAGCAGCGTCAGCAGAGTCTCCCGGCCGCGTCGCACGCTGCGCAGGACGTGCTCGCATGCCAAACGGAATATACCCTGCGCACACACACTACTGTTACACCATTATATAGATCAATCGAGATCTTGCAATATGAAACACTTGTAGTAAGAAGAAAAGCTCTTATTTTACTTGTATTCTACATTTCTTTAATTGTTAAGCTTTACCAGTATCCCCAATGAAAAAGTCAATATAATAAGTTCCTTTGCCATCATATTTGGTACGCTGTCGTATCGTAGGCTCATTGATCGGCAAGTTCATTAAAAATAAAACATGATACATATAAAGTAGTAAAGAAAACATTTTGATGAAACTAAACATTTTTTTTTATATCATAAGGTGGCAAACGAGCGAGCGGCCACCTGAAATCGCTGAAATAGCGAAGTGACCGTTGCCCATAGACATACGCAATTGCATATGCGTTGCCTACCTTTAATCGAGGGAGGAGAGGATGCACAGAAAGAAAATATTTTCCCTACCCATGCATCCTCTCATCCGGAAAGTCCACTTCCATTTTCCCATCTTTTCCTTATAAGAAAAAGGATGGGAAGGGAAAGAGGACTATATTAGGCCTCCGGGACGCACACTCATCAGACGAAACGCGGAATTGCTTCCACTTCACGCCTGTCTTCTGTGTGGTCGTGGTATTTCACCGGGCGAACAGGGCCAATTCGTGCGAAGATGTTAAAGCGGGCTCTACCACTGTTAAATTAATTTAATACATATACTTGGTATATGTCAATAGTCCCACAAATATAAGAAATATATCTTAAACAAACAGATAATGATTGTTGTTTCAATATTAAAGTATAAAAAAATGATATGAGATATCGGAACGATGTCTGAACAAAGACAAGCGGAGTAGGATTTTATATACAGTCGCGTTGTTTGTTCAATAAACAACATAGTATGTTGAAGTTGTATTACAGCGATCGCTCAAAAGAACAATGTGAGTATACATTACGATAGATTTAACATTATTACGAGAACAATAAAAGAAAAGAATAAATGCCGCAAAAAATTAGACGACCTTCAAGTAAAAATACGTCACAACAATAGCTAAAATGAAGATTGTTTTATATCTTCGGGCAAAAGAATAATAAATAAATATAACTATTTCAACTCAATTTAAAATCTCTTTGTAGCTGTTTCTCCTATTGACACAGCAGTTTTAAATTTTTCGTAGACCTTGTGAAATATAGTCTGAATAATACATAGAACTTTAGAACATAAAGAGACGTAGCGTATTACATTTTTCGGCAAGCTACGTTACCCATTGTAAAAGCTACAAAACCGTGAAGGAATATAATAAACGTAACGCGTAAAATATATAAATTTAACCCCTAAAATATATACAAAATATGTAAACCAACAATTTTGAAAATAACAAGTAATATAATATAATATTTGTTCTTAACTAAATATTTACCAGTTCCGAGGTTATACGTTTATTAAGTTTAGTACTCGTACAACTTGTAATAACGGTCTATTTCACTTTTGTAGATAATTAAACTAACAAAGTAGCCTTTGTGATAATTATTTTCCGTGCCTTTTGTAATTATATGTTAAAAAATTGTGTTTACAATTAGACATATAATCATGAAAAATATTGTCATAATAAAATAAATAATGCGATTCACTGGGATTGACATTCGACAATTAGTAAGTCATCATGATGATCATGATGTTATCTTAATCGCTTATTAGACTGAGCGATAACATAACACAGTTTCTATACAAGATAACCGACATCAATACACTGTAACATGTACCCGCCCGCATGGAAACAGGCGCTATGGAAATTACCACAGGCTCTGTTTATTAGCACGATATTGATTGGATTACTGCGACAGTAATACAATGATAAAATAGCCACGGTTTTTAACAAGTAAATGCGTGTAACCAGTAGTATTAAATGATTACATTCGTTTACGTAAAGTACCGAAGTAATTGTCTCTATAGAAACTAAACAAATATTACATTAGTGATTATGGCTATAAGAAAGTAGCGCTCATATTTTAGCCACGTATGTTCTAGTTGAAGATAACATCAAAAATAACGTTTGCATTGTTTTCGATACGAAAATCCAATCAGATAATTCGATTTGTGCTTACAACGGTTGCGTGGTCGCGTATTGCAGCGTAGATTGTGCAGTGAGGCACGGTGGACGTTGGAAGATGGATTCCAGTTAATTGACAATTAACTGAAACTACAAACGCGGTTGCTGCGGCGAGCGACGACCAGTTTCCCGCGAACTCACGTCAAAATTATATTCAAACATTTCACATTTCAATTGATTAAAATTGTGTTTTGATTCATTTCAAAATGGTCATTTATTACATTAATGACTTATTGCCAAATGCGTGTAAAATATATCAATGTATGATGTTTCTTTTCTTATATCTAGGAGACAGGCATACAGCAACGGAGCCAATTTTATAACAGTAATGTTATTTTCGGTAGTGGGCAACGTCACAGATCGATAGTGGTGCCCCGAAGGACGTCTAGCTTGGCGACGCGCCAGCTCGCAGCCAGCTCACAACCTTGACCTGATACATCCTCTAGGACACGCTGTTGTCGACCACACAATACTATTTATACATTCATTATGTAGTTTTTTTCAATGCGCTAAAATATATTGTTTGATTTCGACCTTGAGTACTAGTTTATAGAATAAGCCTAAGAGTGGTATTGAAGCTTACGAGTAAATGATAAATCGTTGTAGACAGCATCACCTAAAACGTCCAAGTCTAGAGGTAGCGGTCAAAGCAACAACGATTTTCCTTTAAATATGAATGAAATATTTTATAAATCGCTTAAACAAAACCTGTCAACTACCCTGTCTTTCTGATAGATATTCGATATTTACCCTGTAAAACAGTTTTGTAACGCGTTCATTTCGATACAATGGGTCACTAGGAGCACGTGTTTACGTTTTTTGGAGAAAAGATAAAGTTCTATGGTTAGTACAAATGACCAAATAAGTTTTTGCCACACTCCTCTTACATCCCACGTAAGTAAATCAAATATGTGAAATCGTAATATAACATAGTAAATACCTATGCCATATAGTAGTCATAATCAACATAAGGAACGCTTATGAAATGTGTTCGGAATTGGGACGCAGTGACCCGGCGCATACCGCTCCCAAGACGGCGCGCGACCTCAAACACCGATTTAATACCGTACTTTATGTATGCATTATTCAAATTGATACAAAACCAATATATTATTTATAATTAAATCTTAAGATGAATGAACAAAACTTTTTACGTAACACTAACAAAGGAAGTTCAACAGTACTAAATGGTGAGAAATATATAAGAAAAAATGGTTGCCCAAAAACCATGTTCGTTTAAAAATAGATGTTTTATATACTTTATTTGTATGAAAACAATCAAATTCTCATGGAACTAAATCTAGCATTGCTCTGAGCTAGTGCTACGCACTTCGTAGCTCAGCGTAGAGCTTGTAACAATAGAAGTAAAAATTAAAATTCAAAAATTACTACCATTTTCATAGGAATATAAAATTTGAGTTAATTATTTATGTAAGGTAACTTGAAAGGTCGGTGAAGTAGAAAGGAAAAAAAAGAAAAGTTAGTCTGTACTAACGAACTCTTTACATTTTACTATTAAGTATTTGAAAGTAATTCAAATATTTAGCGAAAATAAAAGTTCAAAACATTCGCACTTTTATTAAAAGAGCAATCGTAATTGACGCATTTAGTGTACTAAGAAGTATAATTAGCACAATCTGCAGAGTTAGGTCCGTCGTACACAAAGCAATATAAATCTCCGAAGCCCTTGTGATTGTAGTCGCAAAACGATTTATGCAATAGAATGTCACAGCGCTTCGTACACACCGCATATCGCCAAAGACAGTCATTCGCAACCTCGCTGTCGGTGAAGTTTTCAAGTCGGCAGAGCAAATCTATATTGTATAAATCTATATTGTAGTCGCTATGCTTGCACTAACCAAATAAAGGATTCTGATCGACAATTCAACTTTGTATATACGGAGCACGTGCAACGCGATTCTCGCGACGCAACCATACAATATTAGCTTCGACAATTTATGTTAGCTTGTGTAAGAAGGACCTTATTAGTGTGTAGGCGACATTCGCAGTGACCTAGAAACGGGATCCATCTGTGAGATTACAAAGCCACTGCCTTCCAAGTCAATTAAATGTATACTTAGTTCTACGGCACTGGCGTCGTTCCATCTCTTACGTTGCCTTATAGCAGTCGTCTAGAATTTATTATTGCTACTACTGCTATAGAGGATGCATTACGGTTTTAAAATATCAAACGTAGAAACTAAGCATTTATCAATCAAAAAACAGTAGTTTGGCTTTGATTTGACATCATTTAGTAAAGCTCGTAGAAAAAGTTTCAAAACAAAAAATATACGATTTATCCAAATTGAACAAAGGCATTACAGCTGCAAGTTGCATGAATGTCGAGGTTGGCAAATTTAGTGTGACCTAGATTATACTAGTCTGCCAGTAGGAAGACGTGCGCGTTTGCACTGGCAAGACCATCGATCAGCAGGCGCTCGGTGCAGCAAATGGGTCAAGTGTCCGTCACTAATGAGGAAAAATATCCGGAGCATCACCCCCTCTATCCTTCGCAACGAGCATTCCGATTGAAACCTATCGCTACGTTAACTGCTACTATTCATTGAAAGTGTAACCTGAAATACATGGATGACTGCCAGGTCTAAGATGGAGTGAAGGGAAGGAGACTAATAAAGAAATCGAATGCCACCCTATACTAGAAGAAAAGACAAAGCTATAAGCTTCATAAATACATTTTACCTCTCAATTTCTTCACTAACAAATAGACACAGTTATAAAAGGGTTATTTCAATAACCTTTTTTACTTAAACTAAATATTTTATCAAAAAAAGTTTCCTTTGTCAATTTTTAATATAAACGCGTTTAAAATGTCTTCAGTATGTAGGTCAGTGGAGAAGCCTAACTTTATGTTTGCGAACTTTGAAGCCTTACGGCAGGTGGTGGGACTCGCTAACACAA